AAACTCTGAATCCGTTTACAAACGTGTTAACAACAAAACACCACCGTAACCAGGCAACTTGAACATCATAGAGGGAATTCGCCAAATCGCCAGATACTGGGCGTCCAATATTAGCGGGCGTAACAATATAAACGTTATATTTGACTCCTTATGACATATTTATTACAATCATTACATATAAATTGCGTATAATATTGACTTATAAACATTGCACAAGTTATAGTTATATTGCAGTCTATTATTTACGTTGACTTGATGTATTCAGCCAACGTTTCACAGATTCTACAGCATTTTTTAAAGTTTGATTTTTAAAACGACCCATTATGGCACCTAAAAAGAAACAAAAGAGAAATAAGTTACCTTTTGATTTCTAGTTAATCACCGCAGTTATATTGAATTATGACATTAATGAAAAAGAGAAAAAGAGAGATAGAGGGAAAGAAAAAAAGAAAAATACGATAAACACATTACACATATACAAATATTATAATTATACAAATAAAGATACTTACAAAATAAAGCCTCTTTAATTTGTGTTCCATGAAAAGAGATTTTTACTCCTCTAGTTCCTTTCCAACTAATTTGTCTTGCAAGTTCATTATGCAATAAAATGGACATCAGGCAGTTAGCAGCATTCCACTGATCAGAATCATCAAGAATACGTACATTAAGGTAACTGACCTTCAAAACATACAAAAAAATAAATGTAAATTATGTAAAGAGAGAGAAAAAGAAAGAGAGATGTTCATATGTTCATATAGAAGATATAAATGAATATCTTTAGAAATCAGTTATACTTACAAACTGAGAAAATGCAATTTTATCATTCAAAAATTCATTGAATGCTTGAAATGACTTCTCATCTCGCAATGGAAGAGGAGGACAATTTTCAGGCCTCTCTATGACAGTTTCACCAGGAAATATTTCGTTTAAGATACGGCGTTGATTAATTAGAACTATATCAAGTTTACTTGATACATCACGAAGTAAATCTCTATCAAGATTAGATACAACCGGTCCTGCAAAAATATAAATTAATCATCAAAAAGAGCAATATATATAAATATTCGTTATATAAAATAGAATTATATAAAATACTATAAGGATCATTACCATGAAGCGTTTTCAATTGGCTTAAGACTGTCGTCAACATATCACGATCTGTATCTGCGATATACCTTATGGACATAATATATTAAAACAATATTGGCACATAATATTAAGAAAAAGTATGAAAATTATTTTTAAAAATGAGATTGTTAAATTATATTACCTTGAAATGGTGGTGAATTTTGAGATGCTTGATTTTCATTGTTCGTTGACATCAAAGTCCTTTCTTCCTCTAAAACGCTATTTTTATTTTTTGGAGTCTCGGAGTATATCATATCAGTAAGATTTTCGTGGTTATTGCTATCTTTACCATCTACAAATTTTTGAATTGTTATTTCTACTTCCAAAATTAGTTGGATAAAACAATATGACACGTAAAAAAAGAAAAACAATTCACAATTATATATTTAAATTAATGCAAGAACATCTAAAAAATAAAAAAATTATGTATGTAATGTACCATCATCAAAGGGGTCACAGATGATTTCGTTTTATTAATATTTCTTAAGAAAGTTTTGTGTTTTCTCCCTAAGCGATCGCATTGCATTTGTACAGAAAGTGTACTCATAGATGTTGAAGAACTGTCTGATGTAGGTTCATTATTATTCATAGTCGATTGAGGAGACAAAGACTTTTTGGAAGCTGTAACAGTACAAAATAAATTATGCAAGGAACAAGAAATATAAAATTATTCATAATATAAGAAATCGCTATTACTTGGAAATTAAATAACTTACCATCAAAAGAATTAAGACAGTTTTCTTTGTCTACCCTGATGGAAAAATTTTGCTGAAAACGCAATGAAATTTGCTGAAATTTGGTTGAAAATCTCTTGCAATTGACCCAATTTCATTATCATTTCAGCAAATTCTCATTAAACAATTTATTTTCAGTGAAATTCTGCAAATTTCATAATATATACATTTCTAAAATTTTTTCACTAATTTTTAGTAATATTAATTAACTATCATCTAATTTCACAGTATTTCATTGAATTTCATAACGAAACTTATGATTTATTTTGAAATGGTTTCAACAAGTTTCCAATAACTTTCATTTCACTTTTCATCAATTTCATTACATTTTCAGCAAAATTTTTCCATCAGGGTATAAATATTGAAAACTGTGCAATTTTCTGAGAGACTTGCTATTATCTGATTGTAAGGGTTTTGCGATTATACATTTTTCTGACATTTGTATGTTGCAATCTTCAGAAGATAACTGTCTTTGTTCTACAACTTAAATTACAAAAAACTATAAGACTGTACTTATAACAAAGATTATATAAAAGACTGTTATTAGAATTTTATAAACACAGAAATAATTCACAAAACAAATAAGGAAAATAAATATGCACATACCCTCATTCAATATTGAAGAAGAATGCTGCTTTACCGGATTTTCCTTTAATGTATTATTGTTATAAGTTAAAGAGCTTATAGATTTAACACATGACTTATTACGGGAGAATAATTTCCCAACAGATGTGGCTTTTTGTTGAAATACAGCTGACGTTTTCACAGATTTATTTTTAAGAAGCGCTTTTAATTTATTCGGAAGAAGAGCATTTGGTGCTGGTATCTCATTGCTTGTACCACAAAGAATGTTTGAAGAATCATCTGCTTCTTTATTTTCTGATGAAGATGATATACATGTATATTTCCTGTTTTTTTTCCTCTTTCTTGGTTTATCATAATCAGTTTCTACTTCTGTTTGAGCAATTGTCTCTTCTCCCTCTAAAACAGTTTTAACTGCTTTGAGAGCAGTATTATATGTATCTACAAGAAAATACATAAAAATATAACATTAATACGTGAATGCCCTTGATAAATTGTCTAGCTGGGGCATCTAAAATATAATTACCTATGCTGAAAGCAATATTTTTACCATGGAAATCATAACCATTAGTAGTCAAATTTTTAACTTCTTCAATAAAATTAGATAAATACCCTTCTAAATAATCGGGTTTTGAATGCCCGTACCATACACCAATTATAAAAGGAAATCTGTAACCATTAAGGGGATACTGGAGTGGTTTGATTTACCGACAGAGTCGCATACAGTTTTTGGAGGTTTGTAAAGAAACGTAACCTCAATATGTCATATTATAAATACAAACGAAAATAATTATGTAGCATTTATGTACAAACTAATACCAGACCCAAGTGTAGAATGCATAGTAGAACATTTTCATATAAAAAACATTGAGGTTTGAAGTCTAATTCGTATCGCATTATGTATTGCAATATTTGTAATACATAATGCGATACGAATTAGACTTCAAATC